ATTCTCGCTCCCTTTCCCTCCTTCCCTCATCCTGCTCCTGCTCTCTTTCTCTCAAATAAATAAAATCTTAAAACAAAACAATAAAAAAAAACCTATCCTCACTTTATTTCCCTCTCTGATTCTCGAACCCACTGCAATTGCGCTTTCATCTCCACAGAAATCGTTTGTATCAAGGCCACCAGTGATCTCCATATTGCCAAATCCAATCTTCAATTCTCAATCCTCATCTTATTTGACCTATTGGCAGAACCTGACACAGTTAATTAATTCTCTCCTCACTGAGGAAAAAATTTTCATCCTTTTGCCTCCTACAGACACCACTCACTCTTAGTTTTCCTCCTGTCCCACTGGTCCTCCTTTAGCACCTCCTTTGCAAATGCTCATCTTCACCCTGATCTCTAAATAAAATTAGTTTGTCTAAGGGCTTAAGTCTTTGAACCTCTTCTCTTGTCCAAATTTTCTTCACTAAGCAACCACAGCCTGTTTAGACTTTAAGTATCATTCATACACACACACACACACACACACACACACACACATATACCCCCATATATACCTATATATATATCTATATGTATACACCTAAATATATACCCCATATATACCATATATATTTATCAGCACAGTCTGGCCCTTCTTCTCTGTACTCCAGATTCATATACCTAGCTGCCCATTTGAAATCTCCACTTACAGATATGTAAATATGCATCTCAACATTTACCAAATTCAAAATACAATCCTAAATTCTACATAAACACCTTAAAGTCTACTTCCCACCTCTACCCCATCTGTCCCCTTATCAGTATAAAACCAATTCCATATTTCCAGTTTCATGGGCCAAAACTCAAGAGTCATTCCTGACTCTTATTTTACTTTACTGATCCTACTTTGTAAAATATCCATAGTACACTGCTTCTCATCACCTCCACCACTAGCCCCCAACCAAAGCCACTGTCATCTCTCTCTTGTACTATTATAGTAAGCCTCCTAGACTCTGTTTCCACAAAACAGACCATCCATACAATAGCAAGAACAATCTTTCTCAAACCTAAGTCAAGTCATGTCACTTTTCTGCTCAAAATTTCTCATGACTTTTATCACTTAGAATAAAAACCAAGGTTTTTGCAATAGCCTACAAAGCCTCCTCATGATCTAGCCAACCTCATCCACTCCTATTCCCTTTGTACAAGTCACTGCAGCTACACTGTCCTCCTTGCTTTTCCTCTACACTAAGCATATCCTGCTGCAGAGCCTTTGTACTTGCTATTCCTCAACCCGAAAACCCTTTCCCTGGATATCGGCAGAACCTCTCTCTTTTATTATTTAGGCTCAAATGTTACCTTATCACACATTTTTTTACTATCCTATATAAACCAGCACCTCTCTACCCACACTCACTCTCAATCCTCTCATCAGCTTTATTATTCTCAGCATCCATTAGCTCCTGATACAGAACATACAGGCACGCCTCATTTTATTGTGCTTTGCTGTACTGGGCTTCACAGATTCTGCATTGTTGTTGTTTTTCACAAGCTGTGAAGGTTTGTGGCAACCTTGAATCAGCAAGTTCATCGGCACCATTTTTCCAATATTTGCTCACTTCTTGTCTCTGTATCACATTTTGGTAATTCCTGCAAGAGTCTAAACTTTGTTATTATTATTACTATTATTTGTTATGGCTATCTGTTGTTAGTGATTATAACTCACTGGTAATGTTTTTTAGTAATAAGTATTTTCTAATTAAGGTATATACACTGTTTTCTTAGACATAATGCTATTGTACACTTAATAGAATACATTACAGTATACACATAACTTTTACATACTGGGAAACAAATTCATTTGACTCATTTTATTGCAATATTCATTTAATTGCAGTGGTCTGGAACCAAACCCACACTATCTTTGATATATGCCTATAATTATTTGTTTACTGTCTGTTTTCCCATGTACTAAAATGTAAGCACCATGAAAGTAGCAATTTTAGTTTATGCAAAATGCAGCACTGGAAGGTAGTCCAAGATGGCAGCAGAGGAAGATGCTAAACTCACACCCAATGGACACACCAAATCTACTGCTACAAATCGAACAATCCCCTCTGGAAAAGACCTGAAAACTAGCTGAACATTTTGCAACAAATGGTAAAAGGGCCACATCAAGCTGGGAAGGAGAAGCAAGATGCAGTCTCCTCAAAATCCCACCCCTGGCACGGGGACCCACAATCAGGAGGAATCTCACAAATGCAGTTTTTTTCCTGAGGACTTAAGGGTTCATACCCCACATCAAGTACCCCAATCCTTGGGAACTGTAACAGAGAGATGAACCCCCAAAACATCTGGCTTTGAACACCAACAGGGCTCACATCCAGGAGACCCAAAGGGCTGTAGGAAACAGAGATACTTCTTTTAAAGGGCTCACATGCAGACTTAGTTACCCTGGAAACCAGCACAAAAGCAGCAATTTGAAAAGCACCCAGACTACACATGAAGGAGTTTCACTGGCTAATCCTACAGCATCTGTCAGAGGGGCAGGGGCCTGGTGGACCTTTCTCCAGGGACAGAGGCACTGGCAGGGACTTTTGGTTCTCTCCCTCTGCCTTGAGAGCACCAACAGGGTAATCCACCCCTGTGCTCCCCCATGCCCGTGTGAAAACTGTGTCTGCACGAGCCATGCGCTCTCCTATGGGCCTGCTAAAGCTGGCAGGCATATGCAGTCTACACAGGGGGCACTCTGATCGCCTACTCTGGTGGCCGGGGGGCCTGCGTTACTGGGTCCAAAAGCGCTGTAACAATCAGAGAGACAATTCACTACAGTGACAGTAGTTTGAAACACATCCCTAGTCTTTCTGTGAAATAGGCCTATTTACTTGTCCCAGAGCTTCAGCCTGAGCACCACACTTCACATCAGCTACACATCTGGAGGCTGTGGAGGTGCTTTCAGGGAAAGGGAGCCAGGGGACACCATCTTTACACTCTCCCTAAGCCTCACTACGTTTCGCCAAGACCTCCAAAAAGGAGCTTATACACTCATCTAAAGCCCTGGTTTTTGTCACTGTCGCCCAGAGGACACCTTTAGATCACCTGGTCTGGAGGCCAACAGGGTGTACAACTACAGCCCTACAGGACTATATATGCCTACACATTTTAAAACCTGCTGCCTGAGGGTCTGGCTTCCAATCAGCCTATAACTGGGGGTTGCTTGAGATCCACCCCCCAGAACATTGACAAGTCTTGGCACACTCTCAACAACTGGGACTTATCAGGAATAAATCAGGCTGCTTAGACAGTCACAAAGGTTTCAGAGAAAACCAAGAGCTAGGGCAAGGTTGAAAGATAAGGTTCATCTGCTACAGGAGGCCACTCTTTGAATACTCATGCATAGAAACAAACACAGAGTCAAGCAAACTGAGAAAACAGGAAAATGTCCCCCCAAAAAAGAACAAGATAAAACCTCCCCCAAAAACCTCAATGAAACAAAAAGTAGCATTAAGAACACCTGGCATTTAGCTGGGTACATATTTGCTGAATGACTAAATAAATAATAGCTTAAGTTACTATGCTGTAAGTTAATAAAGATTAACTCATTTAATCATCAAAAAACTACATGGAGGTATTATTAATACTCCAATTTTACCAATGAGACAAAGGCATAAGAGATTAAGTTACTTGTATGTCACATATCATATAAGTGGTACAGTCAGCCTCCTATATCTATTACATGAGATCAAGTCAGATCACACAAATGGACCACTTAACAAAACATCTGGCACATTAAATTACCTAACACTTATGAATACTTGTTATGTGACAGACATCAATGTAGGCTCTTTGTGTGTATTTACTTATTTAATTCTCATATTCTTCAATAAGTAAATGCTTTTATTTTCACTATTTTTTATTTATCAGGGCACCAAACCTAATTCAACAGAAGTTACACAAAAGACACTGCTGTGAAAGAAATGGGACAAACTCCAACCTTTACTCTTCTCGGAAAACAGTTAACATGTGCTTAAAGAAATGTGTTTTGAAAGTTAGCACTGAAAACCAAATCAAAATGAACTGAATTCCTATCACTTACAGACACATTGTTAATTGTATTTGTTAGCCTGTAGTTCTAGAATGCCTTCTAAGATTCAAAGACAAAACAGTCACAGATTTTCTTCATTAAAAACAAAACAAAAGGGGCACCTGGGTGGCTCAGTGGGTTAGGCCTCTGCCTTCAGCTCAGGTCATGATCCCAGAGTCCGGGATCAAGCCCCACATCAGGCTCTCTGCTCAGCAGGGAGCCTGCTTCCTCCTCTCTCTGTCTGCCTCTCTGCCTACTTGTGATCTCTGTCTGTCAAATAAATAAATAAAATCTTTAAAAAAAAAAAAAAAAAAAGCTACCCCTTCTCCAAATATCTGGTCGCTACTCCATATTGCATGGTATTGTTTAACGTATCTTTTTCATTTTTTTTTTTAAGGTTTTATTTATTTATCTGAGAGTGAGAGAGAGCATGAGAGGGGAGAAGGTCAGAGGGAGAAGCAGGTTCCCCATGGAGATGGGAGCCCGATGTGGTACTCGATCCCAGGACTCCAAGATCATGACCTAAGCCGAAAGCAGTCACTCAACCAACTGAGCCACCCAGGCTATAATTAATAATTTATAATTTTCATTATAAGGAAAAAGTTAGCTGAATTAAAGTGGATCTTTTTACTATTTAAAACAGAACTTAGTCATTTATATCAATCTGAAATCACCAAGTTTATACACTGCAAATTACCTTCTGTTTTAAGTCAGTTTTATTAGCAAAAAATAAATTTTAAAATTACTGCACCTGAGAAAATAGCCAATTCCTTTATTGAGTTAAAGTGAAAGCGAAAGGAATCATGAAAACGACTAAATATAATTTCTTCAGCTCAAAATACAGCATTTATTAAATTTTTAGAGCCATCTGTAGATACTATTCTACATTAATAATTAATATATGAAACATCATGGTAAAGACCCTTAAAACTTACGGTGCAATAATGGCTCTAGCAGGTCTTTTTGTAGACTGTACTTGTGAGAGCCAGCCTTCTAGTTGTGCATTCAGCTGCGGTCCTATAAAAAGAGAAAGAAGGAAATTGGAGTTAGCAGAGAAATGTACTATATATAACCATACATGACACAAAATCCTTATTAAACCTATTTGGGACTAAAATGGCTTAATGGGCACTGGGATCATTAGTTTGTACGTTAATGTTTGATACTTAACCAACTACTAAGCAAGCCATAGAGAAGGCCATGTACCGATTAAACAAAATTTGCTTTTATCCATTTACTTACTGACAACCATCTTCATTCCAGAACAATATGATCTATAATTTGAAGCACTGTTTAAACAAAATAAAACAAGAAACAAAAGACTCTAGGCATATGAAAAGAAAACACCTGAGTGACTGTTTACAGAGCACCAAAACTTGCCTTAATCACTAAAATCACATCCATGGAGTGATCACTCCCATACCCAAAACCTTTCCTTCTATCCAGTCCAGCCCCTACTCTGATGATCACATTGATAACCAGTGACTATGCCATGTCAAAAATCCCAATTTCAAGCATCCCACTCTCCTCACTGCCTATCTTCCCAGTTCACTTCTAGAAATCTGTTGATTGCTAACAGATTCTGAGTTACTTTCCCCACTATCCTTCCTCTCCTTTCTTCTTCCCCTCTTACCCAGCCTGAGACTTGCTCCATCACTCTGAATCATTTCTTTACCTGTGCCCTCACTCTTGCTCCTCTTTCTCCCCCATAGTCAAACACAGTATCTTCACTTGTTCAGCTGAATGAGATGACAGACACAACCATATGAACTTTAAAATTATACCCATAAATTGCAGACCCTTAGCAAAGCTCAGAAATCATACCACATTAACCTCGTGAACTTGCTCTCCCAGCCTTAAGATAATTTCTTCATATAGCTTCTCATTTTACCTTAAAGCCTCATTCCCCTCTCACTCCCAGCAGATGATCATGGTTTTTCATTTTGTCAAGGAAAATCAGAAGATAGCCAACCACCCTGGTTTGCCAAGGACTTTCCCAGTGTTAGCACTGAAAGTCCTACATCTAGGGAAACCTCTTAGTTGCAGGCAAACCTGGACATTAGTCACCCTAAATTCAAAAGAGAACTACTTCCTCTTCCTACCATTTATTCTGCCTTCTCTCCTGTGTCAACACATTGACCTTACTCCTATCAAAAGTCAAACAAATTCCTTCTCCACTGGGTCCCATTGTTTGTCTTCTCAAGGACTCTGCTCCTCTAATTGTCCTAGTCTCCTGCACAAACTTGTCCCTTTTTACTAGATCCTTACCATTAGCATTTTTCCTCTGGCTCTCTTTTTTTAAGCATTTAATCGTAAAATATTTAAATGTTACAGAAGAATCTAGATAATAATAAAACAAACATCCATGTACCCAGTACCCCAAAAAATTAAATTTTGATATTCTTAAGATCTTCCTTAATGAGAAATAAAATATTACAGACACACTTGAAAACCTTGCTGATCCCATTATACATTTTCCTCCTCAGAGGGAAATCAAAATCACTTTCTGATTTTGGTGATTATCATTGCATTATATTTTTACTAATGTATATACCCATAAAAATATGCATTGTTCTGCATACATATTGTTCTGAATGTTTTTAAATACTACATAAATATACTGTGCATGTTCCTCCATAATTTGATTTAGTACACAACATTACTGATAACAGGTACTCATGCTGATTGTGTAACTCTAGTTCACTCACTTTAATGCAGTATTATACTGTGTAAATACACCAAAATTTATCTATTCATTCTCTTCACAGACACTTGGTTGTTTCCACTGTTTCACTGCTAATATGCAATGTTACAAGTGTCTTATAAACATGTATTAAGAGTTTTTCTGGGGCGCCTGGGTGGCTCAGCGGGTTAAGCCTCTGCCTTCAGCTCAGGTCATGATCCCAGAGTCCTGGGATCGAGTCCCACATCGGGCTCTCTGCTCAGCAGGGAGCCTGCTTCCCCTCCCACCTCTGTCTCTCTGCCTACTTGTGATCTCTCTCTCTCTGTCAAATAAATAAATAAAATCTTTTTAAAAAAAGAGTTTTTCTGGGGGCAGCCTGCTTGGCTCAGTCGGTTCGGCAACTAACTCCAGATTTCCACTCAGGTCAGGATCTCAGGATCGTGGGATAGAGCCTGTCAGGCTCCATGCTCAGTGGGGAGTCTGCTAAGGATTCTCTCTCTCCCTCTCCTTCTGCTCCTCCCAACCACACTCACTTGCTTTCCCTCTCTCTTGCTCTCAAATGAATAAATAAAAAATGTTTTAAGAGTTTTTCTAGGGTTTAACCACGAATAAAAGTACTGGATCACCAGAACACTGCAAATTGCCCACTAAAGTGGCCAGATCAATTTACCCATCAGTGTAAGGGCATAAAAATGAGAAGTCTTCCTGTTAAAAATTAGGGGAAAATGGGGGTCCTGGCTGGCTCAGTCAGTGGAACATGACACTCTGGATCTCAGGGTTATAAGTTTGAGGTCCACGTTGGACATGATACCTACTTAAAATAAAATTTAAAAGGGAAGAGATTTGTCTTAGAACACATTCGTTTTAGAGCACTTTCTCTAGAAAACTTGCAATCGTAAATTCTTTCTCTATCTCTTGAAATATATGTAAATGTTTTTAAAAGCTACATAAGCTTCTAGGGATCCGAGCTGGCTCATTCAGTAGATCGTGTGACTCTTGATCTCGGGATCCTGAGTTCAAGCCCCATGTTGGGTACACAGCTTACTTTAAATAATAAATAAAGCAAGCAAGCAAGCAAGCAAGCTTCTAACCAGCAACCCAGGACTCTCTGAAATGTGATTCGCGCCAAAGAAGACAGCACCCTCTTTCTGCCAGTTTTTTTTTTTTTAAGATTTTTATTTATTTATTTATTTATTTATTTATTTATTTGATAGAGAGAGAGAACACAAGCAGGGGCAGTGGGAGAAGAAGAAGTAGGCTTCCCGCTGAGCAGGGAAGGGCTCAATCCCAGGACCCCAGGTTCCTGACCTGAGCCTAAGGCAGACGCTTAATGACTGAGCCACCCAGGTGCCCCTTTCTGCCAGTTTTTGTGGGAAGACAGGAACCTAACTAGCTGACCATCTACTTCCAAGTTGCAAAATTACCTCCTATCATAAGAACACAAGTTTATTTTTAGCCAGTTACAAATACATATGGTCACCACAATTACCAACTGATTTAGAATGAACTATGTGTGAGAAATGTTGCTCTCAAGTCCTCTGACTTGAGCACTACTTACAATTTATCTTGAGAACATGTATGTAATAGGTTGTATCTGGCCATATAAAAGGGTGAGCTCTCTTTAGATCTCTGAAATCTCTTAGCAGATTGACTGTGATGTGCTTCACATTCTGGCTCAATGCTTATTTTCTTTCTCTTCTGCCTCTGAAGAGAGGTTTTTCTGAAATGGAGGTTTTGGTTTAAATTATATTTCTCCAACATCAGCAATGGTTAAAATTTCCCATTTCCCCTCATCCTTATCAATATTTGATACTGACAGAATTTTTAATTTTTTTGGCAAAATGATAGGTATGAAATAATATCCCTTTATTTCTTCTGATTTGTTTTTCCCTGATATCCACTGTCATTAAACATCTACTGACTTGGTTATCCCTCTGGATATATTTAGGACTAAATACAGAAACAAGTCAAGTTTATAATGAACAGCCCATCTATAAAATGCCAAAGTACAAAAAAGTTCCGATTTCAGCAAACAATGTAATTTATTTTAATAACTTAAAATTAAGAACAATTCCAAAAACCATTATGTTACATAACCTCATTAGTAACTCAAGGAAAAAAGTTCAGATTTTCAATGTAAAGTTTTAGCTGCCAAATAAACTCTGTGTTAACTTAAAAGAAGTATTGCTCTAAATATCTCCACATACAGGAAGTTTACAAAACGGAAACTGAATAATGGATAAAAGCAAAGAACATATTATCTCCCAATTTAGCCACTCTATTGCCACCAAATTCACTGATTTTTAAGCATTAAATTAAGGTCTTTTAGTAGTCCTTCTATAAAAGGACCAATTTCCTTAAAAGGTTCCTAAGGTAAAAGCTAAACTCCAAGTTTCTTAATTGTCTTTGAATAAGACAACTGAGCATATCTATTTATTATGGTTGCTTAACTGCTGATCTATAAAATATCAAGTAAAAAAATGAATTTGAGTTCTTCCAGAGAGACTGATACTTGGCAATATGGTATCCTTAACACATGAAGATGATGAACAAAATATGGTTTGTGTTTCAAATATCACTGGTTTTGAAGGCACACTGATGAGTAGAAAAATCAGAAATATTGTTAAATCCTAGCAAAACTAATGGCTATGTCATTTTGCCCTGAGAAGGATAAATGGGTATTTACTTCTTTGGAAAGATATTAAAAGTAGGTTCCCAGAGGATCAATGCTTCAGGTACTTCCTTAGGAAACAGACAATAAATAATGGGCTGTATTTACTGTGATGCAAATTAACAACACTTCTGCTTCTATCCTACTTGAGTTGGACAATTTCACAAGGAAATGTATTCTCATGGTGACAAAACTATAGAGATATTAAACATACATACACATACACATATAAACACACCCCTCCTCAGCCCTGCTTTTCCTATGCAACTTGTTAACAGAACCATTCTAAGACATGTAATGAAGTAAGCCAAAAATGGTTTTCTACACTTTTCTGATTGGTTTGCTCTTCCTATTCTTCTTTGCAAACAAAAAATTTTAGTGGCCTGCTCATTCTGAACAGAAGTCATGTGTTCTATAAGCTCGTCTCTTCTATTAAATAAATTAGCACATCATGGTCTTAACTATGACTAACAATGTTTTAATGTCACAAATAATATTTGCCTTCATTTTTTAATTGAATAAATGTTTATTGGACACCTATTTATGTGCCAAGAAGTGGAATGGATGCTATAGTTATAGCAATAAAAAAAGACAGATGCAATGTCTGCCTTCATGGAGCTTCTGTCAGTGTCTCAAACACAAAGAATGGCTGAAAGTTAAAAA